AAAGATAAGTGTTTAAGAAAACAAAGAAATTACAACTGAAAATTCGAATGGACAAAAATTCTCTGCCTAAATTTGTCACTTCAGATGGTGTGCCTTTGACAGAAAAACTCAAGTTGACCATCTTGTGTGAATTCCAATGCCCCTTCATCGATCAGGTCTTGAATTTTGTTCTTTAATGCCCAACAGTGGTTACTGTTGTGTCTAGGACTGTTGGAGTGGTACAGACACCTTTCATTGTATTTGTAGTTTGGAGCAGAAGTGTTAGATTTTTGAGGAGGCTCCCTTAATGTAATCAGCTTGGCTTCCAAAATATGATACAATTCTTGAGCCAATGGCATGTTGATCTCAGCAAATTTTCTTCCTTGCTTACTCCGACCACCTTGTCGTGGTTGGAGAGGTTGTTGTTGGACTCTTGGTATAGTAGCAACTTGGAAAGGTCTACTCTCCACCAAGCCAACTTCTTGTCTCATCAGATGATGATTAATGGCTTGATCCCCAATTTTAGTTGTTTGCCCCATATGGTTGCATCCGTCTTAATGAAGCTTGTTGATGAGGGATCTCAACTCTTTTTGTCCCCGAGCTAAGTTTTGGATAAGAGTCATATGGCCCATCATTTTCCCCATCATTTAGACTTTCATTATTGCCATTTAAGTTTGTAACCGTTCTAACTGGTCATCCCTGTTGTCCTCAGGTTTCTTTTTTGTTCATGCTCTCAATGAGGAGTGCTTTCACTTTTTCTTGCCCCTTGGATAGGTTCAAGAATATTTCTTGAAGTTGAGCATTTTGAGTCTGAATGTCCTTGATAGTCTATTCTAGAGCCATCTCTACTGAAATAAACAGTAAGCAGATGAGAAACTTTTGTGGGGAAAACCTGTTATGATAACATGCATGATATGTGGATGCAATTTTTTCAAGGATCTCACGGGATAAACACAAGAAGATGTTAGAGGTTTAACTTTGATCACAACTTTGATTGGAGAACTTCATATCGTTGGATGTCCTTCCATGAGAATCAAGCTCACCATGTCAAGTGGGTTATAGCCCTTGACTCAAGTTATCGCGCTTTGGTTTTTGACGATGTTTGGTTAGAGGAACATAAATCCTCTTGCCCCTTGATAGACGTCTGGTTTATCATGACCTTGCACCACAGGCCCTTGAGATCCTTGAAATGGTTATTGACAATGCTATGGTATGATGTCATGATGTTATGTACAAGTAATCATACACAGGTGTTGTACCCCAAAATTTCCCCTCTCACTTCTCAAGACATTTCTCACAAGGATTATCAAAGTTCAAGCTTGCACAAGTACATTGGGTTTTTTTTTCCAGCACCAGGTTAAAGAGGATACTATTGAAAAAAGGGAAAAACAGATAAAATTGTTTTTTGACAAAATTAAAGAAACAACAAGTTTACTTCGATTGGGCATATGCTGCCTGCTTTGATATGGACAACATAGCTTCCTGCAAGCCTGCTTCGATTTGGACAACCTTCATGCCTACAAGCCTGCTTCGATTGGACAAGTTTGCTTCCTGCATGCTTGCTTCGTTTGGACAAGTTTCGACGGGACAAAGTAACTATCTCTATGCATCTTTCGAATCCACTTGCACCAAGGGCCTCTTGCAGACTTTGCTTCATACAAGCTTCGTTTGAGCCAAGAGGTATCTTCATACAAGATTTGGATAATTTCTTATTCCCTTGAAAGAGCGCCCTTCGATTCAGAAGGTAATAACCTTCAGAAAAACGTCCTTCGATTCAGAAGGCAATGGTCTTCTGAATTTTTCTTTCGATTGCACCATTTAGGCCTACTACATACAAGCTTTGAATGCACCTTTGGCCTTATTGTTTGCCTTTGATTCACAAAGCCAGGAACTTCCCTCATGCTAAAAAGACACAAGGCAATGACTCCCAATGTGTTTGCTTCGATCCAAGCTTCGACTAGGCATTAGCTTCCATCGAGCAATTTTGTTTCGACCACATGCTTCGACCGAGGCAAAGGATTCCTTCGAACAAGTATGCTTCAATCTCATTCTTGCATTCGACTCAAGACCAAATCTCATAACCTTATCCTCCAAATCTCATTTTCCAGGCTATGTTGCTTCCAAATCTTTACAGAATCAGAGGCTTACATAAATTTGCGATACATTACATAAAGATTCGAAGGTTTATCCACTGGATAATACTATTCTTGGATGAAATGGAAAAAGGTTACGTACCCTTTCTTCATAAAGAGTACTTTAATCACAAAATCAGCTCTCAACCTGATTTTTGTCTGAGCACAAGCAACGCCAAAAGGCATAAGTCAAATCTTCTGTACCCAACTGACATCAGGCCCACACTTGTACTTTTTTTCTTCATATTTTATTATTTTTTGCAAAGCTGACTACTTCAACATCTCCCAAGCTTTTCCTCTATAAATAGAGGAACCGTGAACAAAGAAAGGGGTCCAAATTTGAGTGGTGTGGAAAGAATCTTCAAAAATCATCAAACTCTCAATTTTCTCAAACATAATAAATTTCTCAAACACTTAAATATTTGTGAAAGCACAAACCCAGAATCCCAAACACTTGTCTCCTTCGAATATGAAGCCTTCTTACATCTTGTTACTCTTCAAATCCAGCAAGAAAAACATTTCATTTGTTTTTCTGTTTCGAATCCAGCAATAGAGACGCTAGCTTCGCTCCTTCCTTTCGAATCCAGGGACACTTCAGGCAACCACCTAAAGGCCCAACACACGTCCCAACCTCAAAGCAAGGTAAGTCATCCTTAAGCTTGGATCTTTCATTTCTAGCACATGTAAATACAACTCCTTTTCGTTTCAAGCATGTACATACTGTTGTTTTTCATTTTCGTTTACACCCTTATAGTTTTATTCTATTGCCTTTCCTTTTGATTTTGCTTTTGATTTCTTACAAATATTTTAAGAATTAACTTGGCCCTAAGGCAGTTCTAGCATGGCCTTAGGCCATGTTGCTATTTAACATCTCAAACGAAAGAAACAGGAAACAAGAAGTAGGAAATGAAGCTTCTGTCTTCCACACTAACCTCCAGGTCAAACGAAAGAGGCAACCAGAAGGAACACCATGCTGACTTCCTGGCGCAGACGAAAAGCATGCTTACACTGATTCTAGGCCCAGTCGAAAGGCACTCCCTCACTGCTTTCAACCCCCAGTTGAAGGAGGAAAAAAGGTAGGTTACATCTTGCACTGGTTCCAGACCCCAATTGAAAGGCACAATATGCTACTTCCAGGCCCCAGTCGAAGGATACAACATGCTGACTTCCAGGTGAAACAACCGGCTGAAAATCATCAAACAATGAAGTCGCCATCGAACGTATTTTATCCCACATGTAGGGAAAGGTAAACATCGAGAAAACCTGAGAAGGGAGAAGTCACGGTCTTGCGACCGAGAGATCGGGTAAGGGAGTCTGTTACGCGAGGGGAAGGTATTAGCACCCCACGCGCCCGTAGTACTCTACGGTATCCACTCTTGTTATCTATCTTATGGGTGTGTTTAATCTATGCTCACTGTCTACTATACTACTGGAGGGAATGCATGAAAAAGAAAAGAGAAAAGAATGTATGGAAAATAAAATTGTGCTCGCTTGGGCCCTACCCCAATGCCTACGTATCCGTTTTGAGGAATCAGAGCTACCGTAGTTCGGCTCATATGTTTTTGTTTATTTGTGTTTTTTGTGGACGAAGTTAATCCCGCCTTCTGCCGCAACTCGACCTTTGGAGACTTATGCGTTGGCACAGAAGTAAATTAATCATGTCCTTCCCTGAAAAGGGTTTTTTAGAGAAGTGCTTGAGCGCACAAAATAGTTTGGATTTGTTTTGTATCTTTGTTGTAGATGTTTTTTGTGGACGAAGTTAATTCCGCCTTCTGCCGCAGCTCGACCTTTGGAGACTTATGCGTTGGTACAGAAGTAAATTAATCACGTCCTTACCTGAAAAGGGTTTAAAAGAAAAGTGCTCGGGCGCACAAAAGATTTGTATTTGCTTTGTATTTTTGTTGCAGATAATGACTAGTCGACCTCAAGAGAGAGATATTAGTCATTTTTCTACTTAGCTATGAAAGGAGTTTTTGAGAATTGAACCACACCTATGCTTGAGATGAAGAACAATAAGATCGAGAAGAGACCCGCTTATCATTTCCCGTACTAAGAAAAAGCGTGATTCTCATCAGTAGTTTTAAAGTGTTTTGAATTTTTTTTGAAAAGAAAAAGGAGTTTTAGTTTTAGATGCGAATGCAAAAGGAGAAAGAAAAGTCAATTGGGAATTAGCCTATTTCTAAACCTAATTTTATCATGCGTTGTTAGACCTAAAGTTTAGATTTTTGAGGGAATTCTACCTAATGTTAGCATGTTTGAATTTGAAAGCCTAATGTCTAATTTTAGTTCAATTAAATCGAAGATTAAATTTGAACCAAAATCTCCTAAGGAATCATGAAATAATATACGAACAAGTAAAATTAGGCAGCAAGTATCAAAATATCGCATACAATCCATACCAAAAGTTGCAAACGAAACACATGACATAAAAATGAGTAAAACTAATGATTAAAATTGAAAAGAAAAAAAGTGAGAGAATTGAAAAGAAATCTCTTTTATTTACCAATGTTGCCAAAGAAAATAAATCGCCAAAATTAATCGCAAACGCAATCGAAATGAGTATTGGAAATAAGATCTCAGGAGGTACGAACTGAATTCACTATGTGCTGCAAAAAAATGCAATGAAATTAGGCCCCATCAAAAATAGACACAATCAGCAAAAAAATAAAAAATAATCATAGTCCAGGAATTGATTAGTTTGGCCCATGTCAACCATTCTTAATTTTATTAATCATCATATTATTATATTTATAATTATATTTATCTGAATTAAAAGAATTAAAACATAATAAAAAGAAAGTAAAAAAAGAAAAGGGAACTGAATTAAAATAAAAAAGGAAGGGGAATTTAGGGTTGAAAGACTGAGTTGTCCTCTTCTCCTTCGTAGAGATGCGTGAACGGCGCCGCCCCTTTTCGCATCAACCTCTTCTTCGCCTCAACCTCAACCCCGCGGCAGTTCTCTCTCCTCGCAACCATGGCGCCATCTTTCTCTGCTTCGAACGAAATCATAAACATCTTCCGTCCTCTCCGGCGAATAAGACGTCTACGGCGACTCAACTTTCCTCACCGAGAATCGCCGGTGTTAAGCTCCATTTTCATCTTCCTCTTCATATCAACGCCTTAAAGGTCTTCTGCGATTCAACCCTCCATCTGATTGCAGCGCTACACATACACCTTCCTCTGATTATTCGGCCACGCCTCTTCTTGTGTTCACCAGTGATTCCTCCGCTAATATTCACATGCGTTCTACGTTTCTGTGAGATGACGAATCCTTCAGGTATGAATGATCCGTTTTGCAATCTTCTCCTACTTCTTTTTTTTTCTTATTCTGATTTGCGCTTTTCTGCCGCGTCGATGTTGTGTTGGAGCTGTTACAAGTCTTGTGCAGAATGTTGATGAAGATCTTTGAAGGTTGATGAACGATTTGCAGAAGAAATCGCTATGTGGAGAAATTTGTAGTTGAATTAGAAGTGATGTTGGGGAGCTTTGAAACGAATGAGAATTGATTAGCTCAAAGGAGGATGATGAAGGTGCTGATTTTTCAGAGAGAGAGAGAATGCAGATGGGGGTTTCTTTTGCGGATATTGAAGAAAAGATGAGAGGAGAAGAGATAATTTTTTATGTGATTCTTCTGCCAGTTCCATAATGAGATGATTGAGAGGTAATAATTTCTTTTTTTCTATGTTGAAATCATATATCTCTATTCTGTCTATCCCCTTTTGCATATGCTGTGTACTCTATTTATATATTTTCTGCAGAGTTTGTTGGGAAAATTGGTTAGGGGTTTGTTGGACTGTTAGTTGGTTAGGGATGAGTTTGTTATGCAGTTGGTTACTGAATGTTAGTTATGCTGTAACTGTTTTGGGTTGGTTAAGTTAGTTGGAGAAGTTATAAAAAATATGTTAGGACAGTTAATGAAGTGAATTACCGAGATGGATTTCTCTTAGTATCAGTTATTTTCGGTTATGAAAATAAATTGAAGGTGGAGTGAGGTTAGCAAGCAGATGTGATGTCATGGTATTCTTGAAACAACAGGGTGACTTGATGTGTGCATGAACATATTAGTTTTATGCTATATTTTTAGATTTTATGATCATGATAATGAATGTGTGTGGTGCAGGTTCAGTGGTGCAGCTTGGCGTGGTGAATGAAAAGGTATATTGAAGATGGTTTTAACAGCAAGTTTGGTCATGGATGATGCGAATAAAACATGGTGAAGAAATTCAAGACATAAGGGCATCAAGCATGGAGATTACTTTGAGATGTTATGGAAGCTTGAAGTTTGGTTTTTGCAACCAAAAGCATGAAGTTCACAAGTACAGAAACTTAGAATTCTTATGTTTTAGGACCAAATTCATATTGTCATGTTTAGAACTTTATCTTAAGTTTAATAATCACTTTGCTGCCTCTGAAACCTTTCCCTTCAAATTGTAGGATTACCGTGAAGATCCTCAAGACTACAATCATGGCATACCACCATTAAAGCGATCAGAACCAAATATTCCTGTTGATGTTCTTCTTGAGGCAACTAAGCCAATCCAGCCGTTCCCTTGGGATTCAGAAACAGACTTGAAAGTTGATGGCTAACTTCCCAATTTGACAGGAAGAATGGTCATGGCACCAGCCGGAAATAATATCTACTGCTTGGGATTTTCATAATGCTCCTACATGTGCTACGCAAATAATATTTGAATAATGAAGCAATGTTTAGACATCTAAACATTTCTTCTTGTGTGTATTTTTTTGTGTGCTTTCCTATATGTGAGATTAATAAACTGTGTTTTATCGAAACACAGAGCTATCTGCTTATAAACACATCAATATCACTATATCCATAAAAGTGAAAAAAAATATACTCAAATAAGAGTGTATACTTCTGAAACCATATCACTTAAATGTTATATTGGGTCATATGAAGTTAAATTAAATTCTTAATCTTATACTTATGATGGCCCAAACAACTCATCTTATAACTAACTCAGTTGTTGAATCCTATAATTGAATGACAGGATCTGCAAAAACTGAGACTTCACTCAGTCCACCCTCGAGTTTGAGTTATTCAAACAGACAAAAAGAGCAAGCAAAGTAATCCCATCTCCAATAACACCATACATCTTCTCATTCTATCAAAAACCACCAAAGTATTCCCTGATTGATTATTCTTAACATACCCAGATATCAGTGTTCCAAGAAGTTAAGTCCCTCACAGGCATTTTATCAAACAGAAACCTTGCAGTTTCCGTTTCACCAAAGATAGAGTAGAATGAAAGAAGCGAATTTCCAAACACCAAAGCATGAACTGAAATTCTGGCTGCAGATACTCAATGTCACGTTCAATGTTATGACACCGTATCTGACTTACTATATGACAGTAAATACAAAAGCAATAAAGAACACAGTCAATTGTTTACCCAGTTCAGTGTGCAACAACACCTACTCTGGGGGCTACCAAGCCAGGGAGGAAATCCACTATAAGAGATGTTAATTCAGGAATAAACCAACCAGTTTATCTCCTCCACTTAAGACCCACCCAATGCAATTCCAATCTAAGTACAACTTAAATCTGAGTTCCTACTCACTCCCCCTCAATCACAGCAGTGATACATAAACCAATTTGACTTAAAAATTGATGAAGACACTCTTCAAAAACAAACACTTGATTAAGCTTCACAGCTTTTTAATCAAGCAACACAATCACTCGTGCTTCACAGCTTTGAGTGATGCACACAACTAACTTGACTCTGCTTCACAGCTTTAGTCAAGGAACATTCAAACACTCTTGCTTCAAAGCTTTGAGTGCTACACAGCCCTTACAACTCGAAACCTATTCCAAGTCACTTATCACAATGATAATTGCTTGGAGTACAATAATCAAATCTATACAGATTACAATTGATCTTCTGATCAATAAAAGGGATGCCTTGAAAAACAGCAGCTCTGTTGAATATATAGCAGCTGCAACTTCAGTTAGGGTTTCCACAAAAACCTAGGGTTAATTCCGTTTGACCTAAAGACCAGGTCACAGGACTTTATTAACCAGGTTAGGGTTGAGCTAGGTTACCCCTCAGAAAACGCAGGATTCTGTTCAGGAAAGACTGAGTTATTTCCTGAAAAAACTCAGACTTATCCAACCTGCAAACTTGTTAGTTCAGAACAGGATGTCATAACATATGTTATGACATCTGAGAAAACCTGTCTACTGATTTAGCAAAATGTGATCATTTTGCAAAATGCTCAGATACACACTTATAAACATCAGTACTTGAATTACAATATTTTTCTGCAAAGGTACCTAATGAGTCAGTACAAACTAAACTAGAATGTTATGACATCAGTCATGACATTCACACATACACTTGGGATTTACCAAAAATGCAAGCCAATACCTAAACACCTACAAACTCCCCCTTTGGCAGATTTTTGGCTAAAGACCCTAAGCAATCAGAGATAGATAGCAGCAGAAATAAGTGACAGCAGAAAAATAGAATGTCAAGTACTAATTAAGTAAGTACCACAAAATATTCTCCCCCTATTTAGCCACAAATGGGCCAAAGATACATGTTCATAAAATTATACAGTTATCCAAAATAAAATAATAAGAGCAGCAACAGAAAACAACTGAATACACTTCCAAACTCCACCAGATATCAGCACCAACCAGCAACACCACCAAACAGCAACCAACCTTCAAGCACTGTCATCAGACTCAGAGGAGCTAGTTTCTTCAATGTTGAGATGACCTTCAGCTTCTACCCCTTCTTCCCTTCTGTTTTCTTCAGCTTCCTCCTTTTCTAGCCTGGCAATTAGAATTTCTAGGGTCCTTTTTATAGCATCCAGCTCTTTGCAAGTTTCTTTTAAAACAGCTATGACATCTGATGTCTTAGACTGGGTCTTCACAGACGATGTCTCAGCTGATGTTATGACAATGTCTGGAGCATGAGATCCCTGAAACAGTTTGTAGTGCAGGCCAAGGGCAGGAGCTCTTTTGCAGACTGTATCTCTTGCCACAAGGATATCAGGGTATTGTGCAAGGATGATTCCACAAAGGAGGGAGGGAAAGGCAATTGGTCCTTTGACAGCATAACTGCCAGCATGCTTTAAAGTTTGTTCAAAGATGTACCTGCCATAGTCAAAAGCAGTCTTGGTTCCCACAGCATAAATAAATCTCCCCAATCCTGTGGAGATAGTTGATTTATGATTTGTAGGCACCCAGTTGGCTGCACCTATTTTATGCAAGATGGCAAATTTCATGCTGAGTTTACTAGCATTCAGCTTGCCTTTCAAGGGCCAGCACTTTACTTGCCTGGCTGTGATGGTTTGACAAACTTCATTGTCAGTTGCCTCCAGATCAGGACAGTCCTTATTTGTTCTTCCAAGAAACTTGTTGATTTCTGATGGAGAGAACTTGACCCTTCTTCCTCTAACAAACACACTTTCAAAGTCAGCTGACCTTCCATCAGCACAATCGTTAGACAAGTTCACTACAAAATCCTTGACCAGATTTTCATAACATTTGTTAAACTTTATCACTGTCTTCATTAGTCCAGCATTCTTGATCAGGTCCATGATGTCTTTGCACTCCAAGGCATCATTGTTGAGTTCTCTCTCTAAGGCTATTCTCTTTAAGCAAACATACTTCCATCTGTTTGCATTGTCAGGATGATGAAAAGAGATGTTGTCTGTTGGCACTTCAGGCACTCTAGCAATTTTGCTGGAGGGGAGCTTCCTTCTGATAGGAGTTTCTTCAATATCAATCTCAAATTCTGATTCCTCATCAGAATCAGAAGATTCGGGTTCTTTTCTCTTCTTAGAGATTGGTTGTCTAGCAGTATGCACCTGGGCCTTCTTCCCTTTTGTCTGAATACTTTTCTCAGCCATGCCTTCAGCCTTGGATTTCTCAGCATTAGGTTTAACATTCTGACTACTCTTTCTTTTCATAAATCTCCTAGCTATGCTAGGGTTCACATTAGCAATCAGATCATTATCTGAGTAATCCTCATCCACATCAATGATAGGTGGATCAGCAGCCTTTTCTGAAGGGTTCTGAATGTTGTCTTTTTGTGTCACAACATTCTCAGTGACATCTACATTTTCAGAAACTTCCACATTTGGACTTTCTGATTGATTTAAAGGGACAGAAATCCCCGGTACAGATTGGTTGCCACTCAGTATACTAGTAACCAGCCTAGCAATAGCTTGGTGAACTTGAACTGATCCTTCTCTATTAGGTACAGAAGACGAAGGATGAGAAGAATTACCAGAGGCTGTAGCTTGAGCTCTTCCTGCATGTCTGGTTCTGAGCTTTTTGACTTTGGCTGGGTCAGTTGCCATCTCTCTGAGAGGAGTGACCTCAAGAACTTCAGATTCTATGCATGTGGTGATTGCCCTAGAATCTTGGTCAGCTGATGACGATGATGAGGATGACGAAGTTGCCATGGTTGAAGACGATGTCTGAGACATTTTGATTGACTTTGAGTAATGGTAGCAGTTTGAGAAAGATCTTTGATTGAGAGGAGGAAACAAGTTGCAAGGACGAGAGAGGTAGAGGGTAAAAGGGAGTCTTTTCAACTTCTTAAAGATTTTGAAAGAATTGTGAAAGTATATGATTAACCCACTAAAGATAGACTTAATAAAATTAATTCCTTCAACCTTTGTTTTAAGCAAAATTAATTGCTATAAAATCTTATGTTGGTGAATACCCAACCTGCCCCTCAAATTTTCAAGTTTATTTCCAACAAGAGCCTTGGTAGAAGAATCAGTCAGCTGAAGCTTAGAGAAACTATGTTCCAGTTTAAATGACTTCTTCTCTTCAAAGTCAATAGGTTTCAAGGAAATGTTGATTGTATTCAGATTGTCACAACACAATGTCACAACATCTTGTGTGACATTGTACTCAGGGAGCATCTGTTTTGACCAGATGTTTTGAGAACAGAATTTATTAGACATGTTGTTTCCAACATCCTTGTCAAGATGACTTAAGGTTCTGACAACACATCCTTCTTCAAGTTTATTTGCCTGTAGTTTTGGAGTTCTTCTGACAGCTTCCATAGAAATAGCTCTTTTCATTCTTCTTAGATGAAGGGGACCAAGCTTATGCTGCCACAGTTTCATCTCTTTTTCTTCTTTGATGATTGGACACATAGTGGAGATATCAGTGTTCTCAGGCTGCCATAAGTAGCAGTTATCTTTGGATCTGATTCCTCTCATTACAACTTCTAGTTTTTCATTAATTACTAGACATTCAGATCTTGAGAAGTTGACCTTGAATCCTAGATCACATAATTGACTGATACTAATGAGATTAGCAGTCAACCCTTTTACCAACAGTACTTTATTCAGACTTGGAACTCCAGGACAGTCCAAATTACCAACTCCTTTGACTTCACCTTTAGCACCATCTCCAAAGGTCACAAAACTGGTGGTGTGAGGCATAACATTATTGAGGAGATTTTTGAATCCAGTCATGTGTCTGGAACATCCACTGTCAAAGTACCAGCCTTCCTTTGCAGACACTCTCAGGGAAGTATGAGCTATCAGGGCAGTAGCCTTTTTCTTCCAATGAGGAGTATGTGGTACCCTTTTTGGCT